AGAAGAGAGGTTTTCTTGGCAGCCAGCAGAAACGCAGACAGGAGATGGCCAGACTGAGGAACAGTGGATATATACAGATGAAAGTCATTGCAGGATTTTTCTCAGCGGAGTGTAGAACCAGAATTTGGAAGAGAAAAAAAAAGGAAAAGAAAAGAAAAGTAAGGTTTACAGGTATGAAGGTTTTAGAGTCCCTGAAAAACCCACAAGAAGTAAACTAGGATTTTTGCTGGGTAAACCGAGAAGTCACCAATGGATCCAGCAGCATTCTTTGTCCCAGGACCAGGAATGTAGGATGACTGTGCAGGTCTGGCACAGGCATGGCAGGCATGAAGGAGGGTTAAAGGATCAACTAACTCCTAGGCATCACTGACTTAGTATTACAGTAATGACCTTGAAGTCTGGGCTCAAGAGAACACTGAATGGACCAGCAGGAGCTTGGGAATTAGATACATTAGTAGGGACCAGGTTTGGGTCATGTGGATTTGGTAGAAGTAACATATTAGAAACATAAAGAAGTAATGTAAGGACTGATTAAAAGACATACCATCTTTAAGATCCAGTTTGTTTCCTTTTTTTAATCTTTCATCTCTGTATTTAACTTCTGAACATATAGAATCATCGTAACTGCTTTAATGTCTTGTCTGCTGGTTCTAAGATCTGTGTCAGTTCTGGGTTTCTTTCAATGGATTGATTTATCTTCCATTACAGGTTGTATTTTCTTGCTTCTTTGCATGCCTGGTAATTTTTGACTGGACGCCAAACATTGTGGATTCCACCTGCTGAGTGCTGGATAGTTTTGTATTTGTATAAATTTTCTTGAGTTTTGTTTGGGGACACAGTTAAGTTACTTGGAAATGGTTTGATCTTATCAGATCTTGGTTTTTAGATTTTCTAGGTGAGCCAGAACAGTGCTGAGTCTAGGCAGCCAAGACCCTTCCATGTACTCAACCAAATCTCCATGAATCTTGAGGTTTTTCAGTCTGGCAAGTAGGAACAGGCACTATCCCTGGCCCTCTGTGAGCACCAGAAGAGTTCCTTATGATCCTTTTAGATGGCTCTTTCCCTGGCCTCAGGTAGTTCTTTTATACTGATCAGTACTCAATTGAATCCTCAAGGGGGACATGTTGTATTTCTCTGGAGTTCTCACTCTCTGGGTAACTGTCACATTCCTGGTATTCTATCCTGCGTCCTCTAGCTGTCATAGTCTTCCTGAGCTCAGATCCATCTCCTCAATTCAGAAACCCACTAGGCTCCCCCTGACAGAGGGGAAAAGAGAGCATCCAAGAATATGAGGGGGTTGAAGAAGGAGCAACTTAGCCAAAAGAGCCCCCATCATTATACTCTATGGGCTAGAAATGATGCTAGAAGTAGGAAGCCAGCACCCAGATCTTGACTTTATTTGCCTTCATAGGCAGCAGGCCCTCCCCCAGACCCCTATAGCAAAAGAGCTTTTAAAACAAAGTACAACCTTGGATTGTGAGTAACTGGTTCTGTTAAGTATTCCACAAGACAAGCAAATATTTCTAACCGATTTTTTTGTTTTTATTTTTATTTATTATTTTTTACAAATAGTTTATTGTCAAATTAGTTTCCACATAACACCCAATGCTCATCCCCACAAGTGCCCTCCTCCATGCCCGTCCCTCCCCGCCCCACATCCATCAGTCCTCAGTTTTTGTCAGCATTCAAGAATCTCTCATGGTTTGCCTCTCTCCCTTTCCCCCCTTCTTCTCCCCCTTGTTCCTCCGTCAAGTTCCTCCTAATCCTCCTATACGTGCAAAAATATGATATTTGTCCTTCTCTGCCTGACTTATTTCGCTCAGCATAACACCCTCAAGGTCCATCCATGTTGCTACACATGGCCAGATTTAATTGTTTCTCATTGCCATGTATATTTCTAACAGATTTTAATTTGATAAATGAGCAGTCTTGAATACCAGTAGTATGTGATGCTGAATGTCACGTGAGCACAAATGAGCCAATGGTTCTTGAAATTCACTTTGATATATGAGTGCTTTGGATTACAAGCACAAATTATTCCAGAACAAATTATGCTTGCAAACCAAGGTTTTACTTGTACCGTGGTGATTCTCATCAGGTTTCCAAGAAACAACTGAGCCTACCTTCAGCCCTTTGGATTCATATTATTCTACCTACAATCCACACAAAAGTTCATCGTTTTTCAGTGCATGTTCTTCCTTCACATGCAAAAAAATTTGCAATTTTGCTTCCAAAATATGGAGGAGCTATTTTAATTAGTAATTAAGTAGTACATTTAAAATGAATTTTCCCTTGAACATAATAACACCATCTTTAAGTTAAGAAGGAATGGAGTTGTGGTTAAGCCCTAAATAAAACAAGCCAGCAAGCAAACAAACCCTGCGTATGGACTCAAACAAGGGACACCATCTGGTAATAGAAAGACAACCAAGCCTGTAAAATTAAAGCCACAAAAGTCAACACACACTTCAACTCATAAATGAGAAAGTAATTTAATAAACTAAGGCAAATATTTGGGGAGAGACCAATGCTATAAAAATATCCACATGGAACAAACCAACTGCAATTTGTGAATAAACAACAAAGTAAATGCCCAGGGCTGCTCCAGGTTAATGGGCAGCACTTAGGTCAGGCTGCTGACCAGAACTAACAAAATCCTGGTACTGAGGAAAAAGGTGGAAGAGAGGGGCCAGTGCTGCCTGACAATTTACAATGTCTGTCCTGGCATTTAATACTGGATCCTCTAGAGGCAAGAAATTAACAGCCAATAGTTTATACAACCTGCCTTTAACACACACCTTTCTGGGACCTAGAAGTGTCTTGCAAACATTAACTCATTCATCTTAACATAGCAATTGAAAGAATGCACTCATTGCAGTTATGTATCTGTGCTAAGAGAACTAACCAGCCATGGAGTCTGGTTTTCAATATGACCCAAAGAGTAATTATCCAGATCCCCTGCTCCCGAAGTCATGCTAGACAGGGGAATAGGCCTCTAATCCCTATCTGTTGTCCTATCAACATTCCTATGAAGCATGCATGGCAGTGGGTCTGCTCATGAATAGGGCTGGTCTGCACGTGCGCACACACATGTGCACGCTACACAATCCATGACACAATCAGTCCTGACAAGGAAATGCCAGCAGCATCAATCTAGACATTATCTAGACCCTACAGGAGTGCCTTAGGGGAAAGTGTAGCATTGGCTCTAATGGGTAGATTTAGGAATAGGGGCAACATATGCTCCCCAGGGCCCAGCAAGCAGGAAACTGGCAAAGTAATGCTTCCCTCATGGGTAGCCATCCTTCCATACCTTCTCTCCCACCCACAGCTTCACTGACTACAGTAACTCCTACTGAAGGCATTTTGACACACACACCGGGATGGACTTTACACCCTCCCAGAATATGACATATGTATGAAGTTAGTTTTTGTCTAGGATTTGAAACAATGGCCAAGAAAGGAGGCTTATGTTATCAGACTTTTCTTCATGCCTTTTAGATGATTTACCACCAAGTATGTGGATTAACTTGGGTATGGATTTCCTTCCAAAATGGCTGGGCACATAATCTGCATCAGGTCTTAATGCAGCCCTTTGTGGGTGGGTGTGTGCCTATATAAGCTCATGTAACCTCCACAACAATTCTAGGGGTAGATGTCCTGTGTTAACATATAAGGCAACCACTGCTCAAGGTCACAGCAGGAAGTACAGGAAGCAGAGCCGGATCACTCTCATCTAAAGCTAATGCCCTCCCACCACCCACCCCACATCTCGAGCACAATAAAAGATCCTCAGTAGGATTTCCCAGGGCATTCTGTCTGTAAGGCTCTATTAAGGAAAGAATTAACACTAACACCAGAAAATAAATTTTGGAGTATTCATGAAGCTGGAGGAATCACTAAAAGTGACCTATTATCAAAAAAACCCCCAAAAACCTGACTCATCTCCTAGATTAAAAAACAAAACAAAGATTTCTCTCTGTACCCTTCCCCTAAAGCTCCTCGGAATAGTGAGATTCTGCATCACCCCAAGCTGGTAGTGGGAGATCCACTGGGTATGTTGGACTGCTGAGAGTCCAAAAGAGGAACTTTATGGTATTCAGTAAAGCCAAAGTGTTTTTCAGTTGACTCCAGACAAGAAGTGAACCTTCCTCTTAAAAGATAATTAAAAGTGCCCCCATACACTGTACAGTGCTGAATAAACATCTGAACAAATGCTCAGATACAAAGTGAGAGATGGAGACGGGGAGGTGTGAGGTCAGAGGGAATTCGGACGAGAGGTGCTGGCAAAGGTGGTGCCCTGGAGACCCCCGCCTTGTCTGAAGAGTTCACAGGGGGAGACTTCAAAAACATTGTACTAGGCCATGCAAAACAAAGCTGGTCTATGGGCCCATTTCAATCCATGAGCAGTTCATGGTCCAAACAGACACAGCCAGCTTGCAGCCAATATTGTGCATATTAGAGAGAAGGCCCATAAAGACTGGATTTAGAGTGACCTACGAGCATTCACAGAGGCAAAGACCAAGAACAGAAGAGTCAGAGGCCTCCAACGGGGCCCTGCAACACCTGAGGCAGAGGCGTGGAACAAGACATGACCTGTCAGAGGTGCACTTGAGCAGAACAGTGAAACTGTTCTCTTTGTGTCCTGGATGAATGTTCCCACAGTGTCCTCACCGAGGGGCCAGCAGGAAGTCCTGGAGTGCTACTGAATCATCACTTATTAATATATTTAATAAAATCCATGATGTCTCTCTCCCAGAGATAATCTTCAGTCTGTGTCAGTGAATCCTTCCTAAAGTCTTCTGTTATTATAAAGAACCGCTCCAGGTATTGTTACCTGGCAGATTTTTTTAAAATTATGAAACAATCACCACAAGTTTAAGAACACTTGCATCACTCATAAAAGCAATCACTTCCATAGGCCTGAGGCAACCACTAATCTACTCTCTGTTTCCATTGCTTTGCCTATTATGGACAGTTCATATGAAGGGAATCATACAAAAAATATGAAAGGCTTCACAAATTTGCATGTCATCCTTGCACAGGGGCCATGCTAATCTCCTTCATATCATTCCAATTTTTGTATATATGCCGTCACAGCGAAGACACCTGGACAGATTTTAAGTAAGCATTAGATAAGATGGTGGTACCCGAATATGTAGTCCCTTCTACAGAACAGCATCTGAACACTATCAACTTGCATAAGAGTTATTATGCCCAAACTCCTCATCTGAGTTTTCATTACCCAAATCCCCATTACAGTGATTTTCATATGGGTAAACTTAATGCTCAAAGCATAAAAATAGTCACCAATGAACACACTGAGCCCTTTTAAATTAGTCCCTTCTCGAATAATCCTCCCTGCTTAAACCTACCCTGTTCTTCCCCTCCCTGTGAATGGCTGCTGGTCTCACTATGAGTATCAGATACACCCCATGCAACAACGTACACAATAAAAGTCAAGTACCAGATCAAAGTGAGATCTTGTGGCTGATGTAGATCATGAAATTCACTAACAAGCTACTCCAATCACAACAAAGCCTTGACACAATCAATTCAGGTAGAGGTCCATCACCAATGAAGAAAAGATCAATACTGATGGAGCCACACCCAGCCTTTGGAAAAACAGATGATGTCTTCAAATATTTCTACCTATAACCCTTTTCATGACACTGTTGAGAAAATTATCATGCAGTGGAAAATGTTATTATGCCTTCAAATCAGCCAGAAAAGTACACATCTGAGTTATTTGATCTGTTCTTCGTTCTAAGAATTTGCATAAAGGTATCATTGTAACCTAAACACTGATAAATATAAGAAACTGACTTTCATAATTTTTAAAGGCAGAGTACCAAGAAAACCTTTTAAAACTTCTATTTTTTTATAATGTTGGATTCCATTGTAACTGGAATCACTGTAAATTGCCTTTTCCTGGTCTCAGTTGCTCTAAGGAGAAGGCAAATACCTAGAACTTGTCTCCAGTCCAATAGCCAATAGGCTCTACAGCCAACATTCCCAGCCTGCTTTTACCACTTTCAAACCTGGCTTGAATCTCAGCATTATCCCTGAGTGTTTGCAGACGTTAGCAAGGCCCTTAGTCTCTGAGTCTCATTTTCTCCTCCTAAAAGCACAAAAACTGTAATCTGACCTGTCTATGTCACAGTATTTTTGAAAGCTCTTAAAAGAAAACATTTGGTGTTTTGTCAGCTTAAAAGACTATACCGAAGTAATACACTCCCCTCTGTGGGTTTTCCCCCTACATATTCTTTTCCTTCAACTAGCAAACTTCCCAATTGCCCAAACTTTCCATTAATCACATTAGAAATGATTTAGGATACAGTGAGGGTGTCTAAACTTGGATAACCATTAGAACCAGCCAACGTGCTTAATAGGAATCTGTTTTCCTGGCCTCTTCCTCGGAGATTCTAGTTCAGTCTGGGGCCTGAGAATCTGTAATTTTCAAAATTCTCAAGTGATTTCAAGTGCTCTAAAACAGATCCTCTCTTCCATCTCGTAGTTTTTAAAGACCCTATTTTCAGTACTTGCTAAGTCCCAATCCAGAGACTCAGAAATTGGAAGTATACTCATTTACATGAAACAGGAAGTATTGGGGAGGCTGGGTGGCTCAGTGGGTTAAGCGTCCGACTTCGGCTCAGGTTATAATCTCAAGGTTTGTGAGTTCGAGCCCCCCATCTGGCTCTGTGCTAACAGCTCAGAGCCTGAAGCCTGCTTGGAATTCTGTGTCTGCGCCTCTCTGCCCCTCCCCCATTTAATGCTCTGTCTCTCTCTCTCAAAAATAAATAAACGTTAGAGAGGGAGGCAAACCATGAGAGACTCTTGAATGCTGAGAACAAACTGAGGGCTGATGGGTGTGGGGGAGACGGGAAGGGGGGTGATGGGCATGGAGGAGGGCACTTGTTGGGAAGAGCACTGGGTGTTACATGGAAACCAATCTGACAATAAACTATTTAAATAAATTAAATAAATAATGTTTACAAATTTTAAAAAATAAAACAGGAAGTATCATCAAAATTCGATTAGAACTAAGCTTCTAAAAATTATATACTAAGTCCCAACAGTGCACCCAGATTGAGCTCCAATCTATTACCTTCCGAGATGTTTAATAGATGTTATCACCAACATTTATTAAAACTTCATAAGGGGCACCTATCTGGCTCAGTTGGCAGAGCATGTGACTCTTGATCTGGGGGTAATGAGTTTGGGCTCCACTTTGCTATAGAGGTTACTTAAATAAAAAAAAATAATAACAAAAACCAAAAAATTTCCCAACAAATGATAGTTCCCACCAAGTTCAAGAACAGAAGACTCCAGCTAAGCCTAAGTTTTCTGTGTTTTAAGTGGGTGAGGTACACAAGAGTAATTTCTTAATAACCCACAAATAGAATTGAATTATAGCTCATTATATTGAGAGGTGCATGGACTTGTTATGTATCTCCAAACAGTTGATTTTAACTTTTAATGCTCACTAAGCTGTGTGATGGATCCTAATTTAGCTTAGAACAATAAGAAACCACAATGGAGTTCATAGAACTTGGGAAAGTCTTCAAGATGAACTTAAACAGTTTAGGCTTTAGCAACTTACATTTAATCATTGTAAATTGATCTAATATGGTGCTCTTCAAGACCCTAACCAAAGGAGAAAAGATTATGTTCAATCAGCATCAAATGTAAGTGAATTTCACTTAGGTAACAAGGCATGTTTCCGAATAGGGAAGTGACACTAACAGGGTGCTGACCTTATGCCAGCGAGGATTCAGGGCACTTCCCCAGGACTTCATAGCTCAGCCATGTTCCTCTGCCACTGAAACTCTCACTTGCCAACCATGCCCCACCCCTTAGGGTCTGTGTACTTCCTGTTTCCTCTTCCCCCAGACAGTCTCTCCACTCCCTCCTTCCCTTTGGGTCTCTGGCACAAAGGCCATCTCATATGAAAAGAACAACACACACAACCCTCCTCTCTGTCCTGACTCTGCCTTATTTTTTCCACGGAACTTACCACTTGGCATATTATGTTAATTTACCTAATCGTTTGTCTCCTCCCACACACCAAATTTTTAATTCTGTGGGAATCAACAAGTGTCATTAATATGTACATGCATTCCTACTTCACATAATGTCACACATAAATACTCTCTGCGTGTATATGTGGATAGTCCTTCTGATCCACCAGACCCAAGTGGTAAGAATTTACAAGTACTGCTCAGCCCAGTCCATTTTGTAACCAAATGTAAATTCATAGAGGTAGCTACTGATTTTTTCCAAACTAATGTGAGAACTAAATCGCCATGTACAAAAATCTAAGGCCACTGCGTCCCCTACCTCCTCCTTTCCACACATACTCTCAACCTCTTGCAGGGAGTCATTCAGCACTGACTTGAGCCCCAGAAGAGAAATCTCAGACACCAGGACGAAATCAGGATGCTGAAGACAAGATTCAGGAGAGAAGGGAAGAAACAGGTCTTCCTCCTCTCTACCTGCAGGTCATTACTGGGGAAAACCGAAGCAGAGGGCTGACAGAATAACTGGCTCTTCTGAAAAAACAGCTGAGAGATCAAGGGTCGCTCGAAAGGAGACTGAAGCATAATGAAAATAGACTCTGGAGCAATTAATTTTTCTATCAAAAAATTAACTCATTTCTATTTTACCTAAATCTCAGTTCCACTGAGAGAATACCACATTAATGGTATTCTCCAACAAAAAAAAAAAAAAAATGAAGTTTGAGAAAATTAAGAAAGAGACTAGTCAGACTCCGTATTTCCAAAGGAGCATGCTAGTTAATAAGCAAGTGCCCCATGAAGTGAATACGCTGATACTTCTGTCCATAGATCTCTGAGCTCTTTTAGAGGTTCAGCTTTTAGCGCTTACACCTCTGACCACTTGCTCAGAAGTACTGTGACTGCCTTGGCCTACTGGAAGCAAGCAAAGGTGCAGCATAAAGCTACCCAGAATGGCCATTTCCAAAGTTAGAAACCACCATTGGCTTCCGGTTGTTTGGTGTCACTTCTGGACCTTCCAATTTTTATGAGAAAGGGTTTGTAATAAAAACTGGCTGAAAAAGTACATAGCACAGTAAAAATAATTAGAAAAACACGATGACAGTGTCAAAAAATTGCTGAATTATTCTGTTACCTGGATCACCCAATTGTCACCTAACATCAATCCCTGATACAACATACACAAATATTTGTCAGTCCCTTCTTTCTGTGATCACTAAATTAAAAGTGCTGGGCTTCTGGAAAGAGATAAATGGAAAAATTAAACTATAAATTCTGAAAATAATTTGATCTCAGGACCCTTTTATAGTCTTAAAAATTAAAGACTCAAGGGGCACCTGGGTGGCTCAGTTGGTTAAGCATCTGACTTCGGCTCAGGTTGTGATCTCACGGTTAGTGTGTGTGAATCCATACATGGTTTCATAACATCTTGTAGTGGTCATTTTGAATATGTGAATTCACTGAACCATAAAGATCTTCTAAATGTTGACACATTTTACTATACAATATTTAAAAATACAATTTTTAAATATCAATTGTCAATATCAAAAACAAACTCATGAGAAAAGTTTTTTTTTAAGTGTTTGCAAGCTGACAAGCTCATAATCGTAGATATAAATTTTCCAAAATTCTAATTATGTCTTGGAGGACCCAATTCTATCATTGGCATCCAATCACAGTTGTTTCCTGGAAACAATTCACTCACAAGAGGCTCACTTTATTCATTTTAAAGAATATACCTGAGAAATTCCCAAAGCTCCATTACTACAGTTTGTCATTCTTTCCAGTAAAAATGGTGTTCCACGAAAAAAAGCGACTAGCTCAGCCAATAACTCAATCATACAAGTGTTTTTCCTTGAGACGTGATAGTATTTCAGAATTTGGCAGAAATGCTTTATGCATAATTCCCATTTTAGCACACAGATTATAAAGATACATAGTCAGAAGTTGAGCTTAATAACACTGATAATGTTTACTGCTTCATTAGTGATATTAAGTGAAACTTTTTTTTCACTGTGATTGTCTGGCAGTGCAGAAGACATTGGCTACACTAATGTTAACTGTACAGTTGGATGCCTTGATTCACCCCAAAGT